TGGCATTTCCCTGAGCATTTCACAGGCACAGCAGGTGAAACACTGAGCTTTGGTTCACCTGCACTGAAAGGTGTTGGATTAAAATTTCCCCTTGGCTGTCACCCTAACACCAGAACCTGACAAGTCATTGGATGTCAGTGAGGCATTAGGTCTGATCCTTTAAGAAATGGACTTTAAAATAGGAAGAAGGTGTGATACCTATTCTCAGGCAAAGCCCTGCTTGTATCCAGGGGTGCAGCCTGTGCTTACCTCTATATGGGACTTTGGGGATCACATACAATTGGCCTCCACCAAAGTAGAATAAGACTTAGGGTTAGCAGTTTAGAAAGGATAAAAATTGAAACAGTGTCAATCAAGAAACAGCTTCAGGAGTGGAATTTTCTTGGTGTGCCCTTCTGTTTATTTGTAGGTTGCTTTGCTTTTTAAGACTCGCCAGGGTAAAACGGTTGCTTGACTAACGCAGAGCATCCTCTTGGAACACAGAGCATCCTCTTGGAACACAGAGAAGGGATGGAATCAGGAAAGCCAACTCCTATGGCAGAGAGCATCAGGGAATCTAGACAATATTTAAAGAAATTGCTCTCTAAGATAATACTGTCAGGCCAGTGGGTTTGGGACAGCACCACAGCTTTTCTCCTGCTTCTTTGTGTCAGGTGCAGAATACAGAACAGAGATCATGGGGGAAAAGTGTAATATATGCTATGAATATTTTGGCAGATTTGATGGGGTCAGTTACATCTCTGACACATCCTATCAGAAATAAAATCATTGGATAAGTCATTAAATGTTTTTTTAATGTAAGTTCTGGACTGCTGAAATTTCTCAATGTTTAATCAAGGCTTTACGAGGATCTATGTTTGAAAATGCTTTATCACAAACTAACTTCTTTGGAAACCCTCAAGAATCAGTGCAGAGTATTGTGTAAAAATCTCATGTATTCTAACTCACACACAGATAAGAAAACCACTAGAACTCCATGCCTCTCACCACTTTTCATGATGTCCATGGTCCCTTTTTTTTACTTTTTCTTTTACTCCCTCAAGAGCGTACTTGAGTTCAAAAAAAGTTTCATAATATCAGACACTTCAAAAGAAAGTGTTTCCTACTTTAGTAAATATACAAAACACGCTTACTGAAAACTCTACAAAAATTTTGTAGAGTTTAATGCACATTCTGTTCATGAAGTTTTGTGGTGTTAGTACCAATCTTAGCAAAACGCTGATAACAAAATTAAAGGAAAAGTTATATAAAGGACAGAAACTATTTTTAGCTCTAAATACATGTTCTGAAATGGGAAGGAAATTCTATGAATGGGAACAAATACATGTTTTTATATATAACTATGTATTTGAAGTTTGACAAAGCAAAGTCCTGGGTTCTGCACTTGAGTCAGAGCAATCCCCTGCAGTGCTCCAGGTGGGACTGAGTGACTGAAAAGCTCCCAGTGGGAAAGGCCCTGGGGTGCAGGCTGACAGCAGCTGAACATGAGCCAGAGTGTGCCCAGGTGGGCAAGAAGGCCAATGGCAGCTGGCCTGTGTCACCAAGAGTGTGGCCAGCAGGACCAGGGCAGGGACTGTCCCCCTGTGCTGGGCACTGCTGAGGCCACACCTCAATCCTTGCTCAGTTCTGGGCTCCTCACAGCAGGAAGGGCATTGAGGGGCTGGAGTGTGTTTGGAGAACAACAGAGCTGGGGACGGGTCTGGAGCACAAGTGTGAGGAGCAGCTGAGGGAGCTGGGGGTACCCAGCCTGGAGACAGGAGGCTCAGGAGGTGTCACAACAGGACACGAAATGAACAACACACACAAGCTGAAATGTCCAAGGTAAAAAGAACATAGCTTATTTTCCAACTCCAATACTTACAGACTTTCAAAAGTGACCATGGATTGGAGAATGAAATTGCCACCTCTCCAGCCACACTGGCCAAACCAACAGTCCATCAATTTTCTCCTCCTCCAGAAAGAGATGCAAAACAATCATTATTTACATGAAAAGTGCATGAGAAACTCCATTACAAAAATGTAAACATCAGAAAGCTTAGAAGAATTTAGAGGAACAGTGAGACAGGAGAGACCTTGTCAGTCTCCACAACTGCCTGACAGGAGCTGCAGCCAGGTGGGATCAGTCTCTTCTCCCAGATAACAAGAGACAAGAAAAAGAGGACATGGCCTCCAGTTGTGCCAGGGGAGGTTCAGATTGGATATTAGGAACAATTTCTTCAATTGAAGGGTTTTCAAGCACTGGAACAGGCTGTCCAGGAAGTGCCCCAGGAATCACCATCCCTAAAGGTTTGTAAAAAATATGTAGATGTGGCACTGGGGGATGTGGTTTAGTATGGACTTGGCAGTGCTGGGTTAATGGTTGGACTCCATGATCTTAGAGGTCTTTCCCACAGGTAGTAATTCTGAGTTTCTTTATATAATTTTTCTTTTAGGAGATGAAATGTTATTCTACTGAAAATAGATTGACAAAGAAACAGTATTATATTTAGAGAGTTGTCCTTAATAAAACTTGTGCCAAAAGTAATAGAAGGATATAATAGAAGGATATGGGTAAAATCTGAAACAAGGGCATTTCTTGATAAAATAAAGTAAATATCTTATAAAATTGTAATGGTAGAGGACTAACAGAGAAGTGTTGAAGTTCAAACAGTTTTTTCAGAACAAATGAAATTTACGCAATTGATACTTTTCTAAGCAAAATTTATTTAATAATCATTCAAAGATGCTTTTATGGAAATATTTGACACAGTAAAATGAAGTGTAACTGAAAATAAAACTTTAGGGCTCTGGAGTAAAATTGGGTTAAGTTTGCTTCTTTGCACTCTATTTGAAAGCAGCATTTCCTTCTCTCTTGCACACCAGCATTGGGTAAGAGAGGGGCACAGCTGGATTTGTGTTTTCTAACCAGGTAAATCAGGCAGGTTTGTGAGGTGCTTTAGGTGCTACAGTGCTCCAGGTGCCACAGCTCCTCCTTTAGGGCAGAGCTGGTTCATAGCCCAGCCTGGCTGGAGGGTGGCCACACCTGGGGATGCTGAGGTGCCACACCTGAGGACGCTGCCACCCCAGGGGCACACGAGGACAATGAGCCACTGCCACCCCCGGACAGAGCAGGTGGCAGGGGACACTTCATGTCAGTGGCTGAGGTCACAGGAACGAATGTATGGCTGCAGCTCTTGCAGTCACTTACACATATTGCAATTTCTACAGAGAAATGTGTGCTTTTAACGACATCTAAAGGCCTAAGGAAAAGCCAGAAGGAAGAAATATTTCATTCTGTGCTCTTAGCGCCACAGAGAGATAGAGCTCCAACAGCCAGACTTCATTTTCTCCCTCCCTACCAGAACATCACACCACACTGTCTCCTACAGATAAATCCCAGGCATTTCCTTGGATTTCTGTTTATTTAAATTGCATTAGCAGGGCCTTACCCTGTGCAACCTTCAGCAAATGGATGCATTTAAGTAATTTATATGAATTGTGTGTCTATGCTGTGTTACTAAGAGACTCTAAAAATGTCTTTTATTCCTGTTCTGGATTTTGGGATGCTGGTTATGGACACAGTGCTGCCACACAAAGGGATGCTGGAAAAAGGAGGCATGTAAAGACTATACTCCTGAGAAAGCTGCTTGCCCAGAGGGATGTTCTGAGTGAGAACACAGCATTGTCCCCAAGAGTCAAAGTTGGGGCTGAACAAAAGCCCCCTCCCAGGTCACCTGAGCATTGCTCAGCAGCTGAGGAAAGTTAAAATTACAGAGTCCCAGGGCAAAACACAGCATGAGGCAAAACCTGCTGAAAGTCTAATTATCCTCACAGGCAAATATCAAACGGCTGGAACTGATCCCAGCACACACATTTTCCTGGCTATACCTGGTTTTGTCAGCTGTTACAGAGAGGACTTTCATCCCAGCCTTCTTGATGTGCTATTGAGCAACTGGTAATTAAGTCAGTAAAAGTAAGTCTTGTCAAAGAAAAGGTGCTTCCATATTCCTCCAGCTGCAGCATTCAGTCTCAAAATTTTTCCTTTTTTCACAGCAATAAATTCCATACAGAATTAAATAATACTAGATGCAGTGACACCCCACCACATAATGGTTTTTTGTGAAAAGCAGAGTAAATGAAAACAAGGAAAAATTGTGCACAGACGTGTGGGACTCTTATAGACCAGCTACAGCTCTGTTAAATGTGGCTGCAGCTGCCTTGCAACATCTGAAGTTCTTGGTTTAGACAGGATTGTTAGACAGACAGAGACACAGCTCAACCACACACATAAAATGGTCACTAAAGCACTTTTTGTTTCATAAACTGACTGTGAACCCACTTAGATTTCCTTTATAAATGGCTACAGCATTTTGAGTGGTTTCACAATTAGAAACATTTGGTGAATTGTGATAAAATTACTGAATGGATGATCACTGACTTTTAACCATGCTGCATCTAAACTCAGTGATTTCAGAGGAATTCTTTCCAGCCTGCTGGAGTAAATGGTGGCAGAATTTTACTGACTGTTTCCAGCAGTGATCTTCCCTTGGATACTACTGAACATCACTCAGCAGCACTGAAATTGCCATATGTCATTGCTCTGACCAGATCTCCCTTCTTCATCATCTAACCATGATTCCAGGCAATTTTTCCTGTTGTAATTCACATTTTATTCCTTTTGAGGTTCCACACTTAAGATACATTTCAGGTGTCATCTCTGCCCTCTTGGCAATGTCCCTTGTTTGACCTGAAGGATGGCTAAAGCTTTACCAGAGGGGCTCACCCTTGCCTACTTCTCACCATCAAAGGTGCCATGGGTCTAATTGCAGTAAGCAGAGCTGTTCCTTTAAAAGGGGAAAAAAAAAAGATCCTCCACAATTCAATTCTACTGCCAAAAGGAGCTTCCAATCCCCACCTGATCTGCCACAGAGCCTTTCCATGCAGCATTCAACAGGCACTTTGTGTGCTCACGATTGTGTTACCTCTGGTTAGTCCTTCAGGGATTAGGATAACAATTTTCACAGGATTTTAAGGAAAGATTATCAAGCCTGTCTACTAAAAGTTTTTCACAAAGTGTTTATTAACAGCTGGCAATATCTTCCAGTGTTGTATAGGCTCTGAAGATAATAATTTTTGTCATGAGAAATCAGGTAAGTTGATGTTAACTATTACAGATATTGATGGTTTTACTTGTACTTGGAGGAAACCTTTTAATGCTCAGTGCTGTTAATGCTCAGTGGAAATGTAGCAAATTAGATGATTTTTTTTACTAAATGTATATTTATTGCGTTATATTACATTCTCACACAAATAAATCTGATCTTAAAAAGTAATTGTATCAATGTAATGAAGCGTGCAGTTGTAACACGGGCATATTTTCACATTAACTTGAAATATTTCTTTAGACTTGGTGGATGATGGTGTGCTTAAAATGAGACATGACCTTTAGATGTTGCAACTGAATGAAGGTAAGGAAATTTGTACTTAAGGACTTTCCTCTTCTATTTCTTTCTTCTCTTGATTCCTGTACTGCTCTGTTAAGCGTGAAGACGTGAGGAAACTGCTTGATACTGGAGTGCAGTACGTTGGTACAAGAAAAATGGAAACTATTTAAACTTCATGGTTACCTGCCACATTAAAAGGAGTTCTACTGAAGCATAGCTAATAAACACATTGGTTTAAGATTGCTGTTAACCCAGAGTAACAGAGAGGGATTTAATAAGAGGTCTGCATGAGTGTATAAAAGTAATTTGAACTGGATTAAAATCTCCAATTCAGCAGTTCAGGGAACTCTGGATCAACAGTTCTAAATAAAATAGATTCTACTAATATCATTCAGCTTAAAATAAACAGAGGAGGATTGTTATACTAGTAGAGCTAAGGAGAATTTGTAACCAAAGGCTTGACCCTCAGTCTTTATCAGACAAATGTTTGGAAGGAAAACCTTCTCTGAGCCAGTTTATGGGATTTGTCTGCCTGCTCGGGGCTGCAGGCACCTGTGGATCCCAGTACAGTCTGGAATGGAAATGGTGATTTTGGTCTGGAGGACAATGAGGGTTTCGTATTTGCAACCTGGACATGTATTTCAGTCATCACAGTGGAGTCACTTCAAGAGATATACAGTTGCAAAGTCATAAAGGCTTGTCCCTGATAAATAAAAACTGGATATTGAATAACCAGAGTAACGCAAATGTGACGTGTATTACAAGAGTTAATATTGCTAATATCTACATTGCTGAGAAATAAGATATTTCAGGCAACAGTTCTAGGAATAGTTGTCACACATGGTTTTGAAATTTGGTTGGATAGCATAAATTTCAGGGAGTTAATGCTGGAAAAAGATTTTGGGAAGCAATTAAAAGCTAATGCTTCAAATTTAAATCAAGTCTCTATCCAATAAGGAGCAAGGGTAGTCCATTTTGGAGTGATATCCCTGGTATTAAGATTTATCTGCAATTTCTTTTTAAGCATTTTGTGCTGGTCAGGGAACACACCAGTGCTAAAAACGGCATTCATGCAAAACAGCACTCTCATGAATGGAGAATTTTCCATCATTTTGTAGCAACAATACTCAATATTTCTTTGCTAGAAGTAGAGGAAGATTTGTCTTACTGTGATCCATCCTTCCAGGTTATGTTTGCCTGTTGTCCTTATCTATAGATGTTTTGCTTGGCTGAGTCTGTAGTGTGATATGGCCAAGTAATGCCTTTCTCTAAATTCCTGCTGTAAATCAGCACTGTGTGTGCAGAGAATTGTTTGTGTTGATTAGCACAGAGGAGCAGTTCAGTGGGGAGGACAGCAGGGAACTGAGAATTCAGGTGAGCAAGAAAGCTTCACGCACAATTTGTCTTGCTCTATTCTGTTTGAATTTTTACAGCTTTTCTCTCTCTCCTAAAATAGATGATCCCTTCATGTGTCAATCCTCTTGCCTCTTCTCTCTCTTTTAGGAATGTGATCTCTCTAGACCCTGCTCTCACTTGCTACACCAAGTCCTCTGTCAAATGATTTTCCCTTGTCCTGCTGCCATGAACAACTCTGACCAGTTTAAATAAGTCAGCACTAAGTGAGATTTCTGATAGGAGATTATCTGCTATCTACCCTTTTACTTATGAACCTTTGTAAAACAGTTGTGCTTTCACATCAGTCTGTGAAATGCTCTCCCCAAGGATTTCAGTGCCAGTGTGATTCCCTGGTGACCCGGCAGAACCCACATTCCTCAAAGCAGGTCCTGGAAATCAAGTTTCCTTATGGTGGATGAACACTGGCCTTGATCTGTAGGGACAGACTGAAAATGGGGCAGGGCATGCCCTCTTCTCCCACCTCCTGGGTCTGGGTCTTTCACCTGCCATGCAGCCAAATCCTTGTGCAGGGCAGAGGTGTGGGGCCATTCACCAGTCAGGGCTGCAGAGCCCCTCAGGCTGGCCAGCCTTGCCCCTCCGGGACAGCCCAGTGGCAGCACTTGTGCTGTCTGTGTTTCCTGCTGGTGTCCCTTGGGTTGGTGTGCACAGGGACAGCACCAGCTGAAATAAACACGGGCAGGAGACCTTTCTCCTTTCTACCTTTATAAAAGTGGTCAGCTCAAGCAGGGAGAACCAACGGGTCTGCACACACACTGCCACTGCCCCCAGGAACACCAGAGTAAAGGAAGACGAGGAAGAGTGCAGCTTTGTCGGCTAGATCTGTGTGCAGAGCTGGGGTTTCTCTCCTCATGAGAGCATCAGAAGAGTCCCACTTTTTGGTTCAACATTCAAGCTCCTCCGTCCAGCTGACATCCTGTGAGGTTAGGGTGAGGAGTAAAAAGGGTCTTAGCAGATACTGGATTCTGTTCCTCACGTCTGGTCATCACTTTGATTCATCAATTTTGTGTTGGCTCATTGTTTTAGGGGTTTTTGGCTAGGTTTGGTGAGGGGTCTCTCCCATTGCATGCTGATTCCGAGATCACTTGCATGCTAACTCCGAGGTCACCTCCTGTTCACCATCTGGGTGCCATCCTCCAGGAAGCAGCAGGGTGTCACTTGACAAAAGGGTGAATTCTTAACCATCAACGACAGGTAGTTAATGAAAACGACAGGTGATTATAATAACAAACAGTTAGAACTCCAACCTGGCAGCCCAACCTGTGAACTCTGCAACCTTTTTAAAAAATAGACAGCTTTTCTACTCATAACACTGGCTCTGCAGCCTGGTCACTCCTGTGTGCATGGAACAGCTCAGACGGGCTGTGGCCCATAAACACTGGACCATCATCACAAAGCACAACTCATCCTAATGCAGATTTTGCAGAGCTAAGGTGACACTTCTCATAGTACAATCAAAATTCATGAAGTTCTAATAAAAGGAGCAAATCACCCCACTTCTCACCTCAAAGACACAACCCAATAGATCCCCTTTCATGGTAGACTTGATTATCTAGATGCACCAGCCACCACAGACCCCTGCTCCAAATCACATGCAGTTACAAACCTCCCTTTACATGATCACCCAACTCTCCACCTCCCCAAGCCTGCTCTCCCCAACAGCCACGTCCCTGCTGCTTTGCAAAGCACCATTGTCTCACACTCAGCTCCACAGAGGAGCATCTCTCACTAACTCCTCTCTATTTCATTGAACCAAACCAAAGACAACAAAAAAATTATCAGAATCCAGAGATGTGGGTTGGTTTTATACCAATCTCCATGCAGAATACATCTCCACTGCTTCCACCACATCAACCTGGGAGCAGGACTGAGCTAACACACTGCTCTCCCCTAATTACAGAGTCCACAGATACATTAAAAAAAAAAATAAAAAAAAAAAAAAAAAGCTGTTACCAGTTCCAGGAAGCTTCATAACACCAGAGAGTGAAAGAAGGGATAGCCTTGCCAGAGTCAGGCCCTGGGATTTTCATGACAGCAATATTTTCATAGTCTGTAGTCTAGCAGTTTGCCAGATTCCAAATATTGTTGCAAGAAAAGCCAGGTTTAGGATTTTCGGTGCTAGACTTGTCCATGGGATACTGGACTCTGTCCATGCATAATTCCTCCACAGAAAGGTGATGGAGAATGAAGTCTGGGAATGGGATTTGGCCAACACTTTCTGCCTCAGTTCCTTTCTTCTGAACATGCTGTGCAGAAACTGTGGATGAGTCCAGGCTTGGGTCTGAGTAAAAAGGATTGGGCAGATGGGCTGGATAGGTAGGATGAGCTGCTTGAAGGCTCTCAGAGCTTTGCTTGGATTAGCAGAGCTGGCACTTACGCACCTTTGTCTCATCAGACCAACAAACACAGACATTTCCAACACAGAAATATTTAGTATTGTTCCACCATCCCAAGGAAGAGTCTCTTTAGAGCCACTAAATACAAATAAGCCATTTTTTGAATGTTTGAATTCTCTAGTGACTTCAAGATGAAAAATATTTTAAATATGATGATAATATTTTCCTAATCAAACAGTATTACCTTCAAGATAATGTTTTTCCGCATACTTGTAAGATTAGCTGCTCCAAGAGGATATTAAAAATTTTTGGGCTTTTTTTTTATTTTCATATCATCCCTTATTTTCTGACAACTACAGAGTTATTTGACATGTTCTGATATTACAAACACAGGGGAAACATGAAAAGAAACCTTTTTTTCCCCACATCCCTAGCCATCTAATTAAATCTTTGAAACCTGGAAAGCAGCTCATGGTCTGAAAGGCAGAACACTGTTAGTCCTTACCAAGCAGGTAGGCAAAGCAGCACAGGACACAACCTGGTGACAGTAACTCAGAAATACAAAACCAGGAATGATCAGAAAAACAACATCTCTGTGGAAGAGAACTTCATTTGGCATTTCTGGTCTGAAACTAAACATAAGCAGATTTTATCTTGTTTTAGGAGAACGGCTTTAGGCAGTTGTTGTGTCAGTGCACAGCTCATCCTGCCAGAGAAGAGGGTTGTGTTGACAACCTTACCAATTCCCCAGAAAAGCCAGTTAGGTAGGACTCAAAAATCAAGAGCATATCCTAAATTCACGGCACCCACAGGCACAGAGGAAATACTGATGGTGGAGTCTCTGCTCCTTTGTTATTTCCAACCCAATCTTTCTCTGCATCACAGAAATTGGATATTTTTCCTGTGGTTACATCATTCTGGGACAAGGGCTGGACAAAATTGCTCAATGTTAAAAATTTTACCAGCACCAAAAGAGCATTTCTCTCTCCTAGAGCAGCCAGACCTGCTGGAAGTCAGCATCCATGATGCAGGGGCTCTGCTGGCAGGTGGCAGTGAAGATGAGCCTGGGATTCCTGTGTCTCTTTCTGGTTTTCAGCACAGGTAAGGACAATGGGCTGGTGCTCCCCAGGGAATTCCCCAGTGTATTCCTGCTGCTCCCACAGCCCCATTCCCACATCTGTGGCAGGTTTGGTTCTTTCCCCCTGTGCAGGCAGCACTGAAGGGCTGGAGCTGCAGGGCTGGTGTCACTCAGCAGAGCAGAGCAGGGGATGCCTGTTCCTAAATCCCATGCTGAGAATCTGGAATCAGAAAGGTTTAAAAGGAAAGAGAGGGAAGGGTTATAGAAGAGCTCCTACCACCTAGATTGTCAATCCAGATTTAACTTTGACTAATTGAGAGTTCTTAATACAGCTGATTAATACAACATCACAATTTATAAGTCTTGGATTATACACTGCCTACTGGGAATTTTTCCTTTATAAACATACATAAAGGGGAACTTGGATGGGCTGAGAAGCTGAAGCTTCATAGGAACATGGCAGATTAGCATTTTCTAGCACTGACGCTTTTGGAGAGCCTTTGGGATTACTCTTAGGAGGCACTCAGCTCTCCTCCAGTGGGATAGGTAACCTAAATCTCAAACACACATCTTCAACTTGTCCTGCAGTCTCTCATTTATTGCTGTGCACATCAGCTGGTCACCAAGTGATCCCAGAAACCCAGTCCAATCTCCTGAGCCCAGTTTCAGCCCATTCCTCCTGAAACACAGCCCTTGAGGACAACCCTCAATTGCATGACTGCTCTGATTAACAAATATACACAGAGAACAGAAGATTTATTTGCATTTGGCCTTATTTTACTCTTTACCTTGCAGAAATTCTTGGTGCAAGCCTAGTGAAGATCTCTGCAAATATTCACTACTATATTTTTATTTTGATTATTGAGGGGCAAATTCAACAGGGAAAACTGTTTCTCAGTCTCTTTCTTCCCTTTGCAGCTTCGTGCCTAAGAAAAGAAAACAAGAAAGAGAAGCAATTGGCAGTGCTGGCTACAGCAGGTAACAGGCAGCGCATCAGGAGCCCAGAGTCAGGGTGGTAATGGGATGGGAGGTGCTGTGCAGATGGACCCTGCTCCTGCAGAGTCTGTGAGCCCCAGCCCACCCAGTCCAGTCCCTGGCCATGTTAACAACTGTGCTTCCCAAAATCTGCTCTTCTCTTTTTCCTTTCTCTCCTTCCCAGCTCTCCATTCCCTTTTGTTTTCCTTTTCTCTCCTCTATGCTGTGGACAAGTGCTGCTTTCAGCCCTGGGGTGCTTCAAGCTGGTTATAAATAGTACTGATGTCATTGGAAAATTGCATTTCTCCCCAAATTCAATTTTGTTCTCATCTCAGCTTTCTGTGCTTCTTTTTCTATGCTGCTCTGTTCTTCCTCTCTCTGTCATGCTCACACACACCTTCCTCCCTCACACAGACACTGCACTGCTCTTCTTCTGCATGACTTTGTGGGAGGGAAGCAAAAAAAAAAAACCTTCAAAAAGACTTGGGAAAAGTCAAATAAGCAACAACAACAGAAATAAAACATGTTAAGATAAAAAGAGTGATTTGGCTACAGCAAAATTTTTCTGTTGTAGCAAGCAGTATAGCCATCAATGTAGCTGAAAAACAAAAATCTATATTTTCATGCAGGTTTGGGGAAGGTGGAACCTTTCTTAGGCACTTCCTCTGCCTTTTGTGACCTGCATGGAGAGATCTGCTGCTCTGTTGGCAGCAAACACCCATTGCCCTGCAGGGGAGGGCACCAGCATGCCAGGGCTGGCAGGGTCCTGCAGCTGCTCAAGGACATGATCAAGGGCACAGCTGGCAGACGTGAATTTTGGCTCACCATTTTACTGCTGCTGTACTTGCTATTTACTAGACTCATCTCCATGGTGGAATTTTACTTTCCCATCAGTGTTTTTCGGTACGCCCCAAACGTGCATAATCTGCTCATTTTGGTTTTCCTGTTCTGGCAGATTTGTAGCACACATGAGCAGTGGCTGCACAGCTGTTTCCTTGTGCCTTCATGCACCCCTTTTCTTTCAGAGCTGCCTGCAAAGTCCCTGGACCTGGCTGCCATTAACCTGACAGAGCTGGTGAACGGGATGCTGAGCACTGCACTCAGAGGTAAAGCGACACAGCTGGCAGGTCACAGCTGCAGCCCAGCAGAGCAGGAGAAAAGGCACCAGAGGTGCTGGCAGGAGAAGCTGTAAACATGTGCTGTCAGCCTCCAGAGTTGCTTCCAGGAGCATGTTACCTCTGTGCATTTATCATGCAGATGGCTGTCTACCCCAGAGAACTTGGAAATTAGTGTGGGTTTATATATAGACACAATATATTTACTTGTGGGGCGCCTTTCAAAATCACTTTCTAATCCAGTGTACATTTCAATTAAAAAGAAAACAAAATAAAAAGGAAGAAGCAATGCAAATGATCCTTCCTTCAGTGGAAATGAGAATGGACTGGGTGTGAGGCAGCTGTATCATGCTGGCACCTTGGGAATCCTTTAGACACTAAATGAGCAGAGTCAAAACATGCTGTTCTCACTATTTATTCCCACCTCTAATAGCATGGATCTGTGTCTCTGCAGGTACCAAGAAACTCTTCTCTTTGCTGAGCATCACCTCTTACAGCTCGTTTGCCTTCCACAAAGTGTCAGTCACCATTTACAACAGTGAGTGTTGGCTTGCTCAGCTCTGCAGCAGCTTCTCTCCCACAGCCTGGGCCACAATACACTGATTTTATTTCTCTGTCTCTCCCTCCAGTCTCTAATGCAAAAAATATTGACCCTGGCAAGTTCCCTATGCACTACTGCTACTGTGTGAATAATGTGACAAATGACTTGACAGGTGGGTACACAAAAGAGGTTGGCAATTGCATGTGCTTAAGCTGAATTATTTCTTTTGGAGCTGAGAGCTTTAGTTTGAATTCTGCAGAATTCATCCTTATGATTGCCACCACCACACTGAGGCCAACAGCCATAACTCACAAGGAGTGGCTGCTCTAATCCACAGCTTCAGGTGGCTGCAGCCAGTCTGGGATGGAGTCAAGTGACTGGAGTGGTTTGGCTGGCAAAAGCCTCCCTTTCCTCCTTGGAAATGCACAGGAGAGACAACCAGCAATATGTGGTACCTCACCTTGGCCACTTCTTCTCTCCTGAGAAAACCCAGAGGAGATGAACAAGGGCTTCTCTGCACCAACAAAGAAACTTCCAGTTGTTATAGTAACTTCTTTGAGCCAGGTCTTATAAGCTCTTAGAGCCTATAACACACCCAAGATAGCTCAGCTACCCTTGGAGGCATAAAAATCAGCAGGATGGCTTCTGTTGCAGTGTTGGAAACAAAAAGGTTTATTAAAAGGCACAATAACAAACAGAAAAACCAAGCCAGGTGCTAGATGTTCTTGCTCCTGTTAAAACACTTTACAAAAGCCCTTGGTTTCTTTATTCACGTCCTTTTCTAGTTAATTGTCCAGGCAAGACTTTTTGGCTTCTGTCTAATTAGCTATCTTTAAGTTTGAGGTGAAGTCTCCTGGGTCCTCTGAGGTGTCTTTTCACTTAATTGAGGAGAGAAACTTCTGGCCTTCTTTCCTTTTAAGGGAAAAAAGGATAGTTTTGTCCCTCCATCAACAAGAGGCACACTCCTCCATCCAGTAACCTCAATGAGCCCAAGAGAAGGGAAAAACAAGCACTAACATCTTCATAGAACTGTTGAATGGACTACAAAGTACTGTTGGGCAAACCCTTCACCTGAAATCCCTGATTTCACAGAATTTAACATTTCAGGATGCATCTGAGTGTTTGGATTCTTCAGATGGTTAATGCAGGGGATCAAGAGTAGATCAGCAGCTACAGACCAGACTCCAAACCCTCTATGCCACACGTGTGACCCTGCACAAGCCACAGTGGCTTTCATGGCTTTCTCTGGACCCACATATCCCACAAGCCTTGATGGATAATTACCCAGTTTGCCTGGAGAATAACAGAGAAACTTTAATCTTTGTGCTGCAAATCCTGACTATCTTGGGGATTGGAGCATTCTCCAAAGCAGTAAAAATTCAGGGCTCAGGTCCATCACTCCCTAAATGAGAACAGTGACCTGTTACTGCTGGGAGGTACCCCTAAAGCACCACCAGCCATTCCTTGGGCTGACATCTGAATCATCAGGATGTCTGAAGCAGACCCCAGAGGAAATAATCCAATTCCTATTGGAAGGTCCTACACAGCAGACAGGCAATTACAGCAGGCAAAGCTGCAGGGCTTCAGATCTCCTTCTGCATTTAAGCAGACTAAATACAGCATTGATTTAAAATGTTCTCTTGAACAGATAAATTCCACTTAAGTTTGCTTTTAGACACACATATTTTGGATATCATCTCTGAAATATACTTCTGAAAGTATTCTCATGGTTTCTTCCAGTCCACTCCAGGAAAATATTTTAAACTTTAAAATATTTTAAGCTTTGTCTTGTATGAGCATATATCTAAAATATCATCACATACAAGAGTAAATTTTTGACTTGACATACATGATAGGGAATGAGTTTTCAATAATAAACTTTCTCTATTTGTTGTCTAGATTTTACAGCTCTACTTGTTGATATCATTGGAAACTCCACCAGTTATCTCACAGAAATTTTCAAATCCACTTCTATTCTCTCAGGTTTGCATTTCCTTTGAACATTTATAATTGTGTTATCATTTACTCCTTGCATGCAAACAACCATAAAAATGTGGATACAAGCCTATTGCTCTTACCCAACAGCATTTTTCTTGCAACACATAGAACAAGATACATATATAATGTGAATGTGTGTAATATAGAGATGTATCTGTTTCTATGTTATGTTGTTTGAATGTTTTATAATTAACTACTAAAGATTGGTGGGTTTGAGAATTATTATTACATACTGATATTTTGAGGAATTCTGATTCACAGAGAATAAGTATGGGCTATTTTAGCTGAAGATTTTTTTCCATATAAAAATGCTTGTAATTTAGAATTTTAATTAGATAGAAACTTTTTCCCTGAAGATACAAACATTTGGATTTGATGGTAGTTGGATATTTTTGTCAAAAATTAGATCAGAAGGAACATATTTGCTCAGCTGCCATAGCCACATGCCATTTTTTGTTTGTGTTTTCAACTGTTTAAGATAATTCCATGTAAGGAAAACTGGTAACAATGATATTTTTTATGTTTTTTGCTTTTCAGTGCGTCAGAGCAATGACTCTGATTGCATCTACATCTGTGTGATGGCAGGGCAGACAGGTACAAGTTAAAATCATTCCACCCAACAATATTATCCTAGTTTTCCTCAGTGATGATTTATGCTGGAAACAAGACTTTCTTGATATTTGTAAGCATTTCTATTTGCAGGGAAAAATCTGTCTGATTTTTTGGAAATACTAGATAAGTCTCCTGTTATTAATTACACATTTTCCAGTAACACATCATCTGACCTGGGTAAGTACATCCTGGGGAATAAAAGGAAACAGGAACCACAGTGAAATCATGTCCAGATAGCTCTTGCAATAAGAGTACTTCGTCCTCACTTCCACTACTACAAATATTATTTTATTTTTTATTATTTCTTCTATATTTGCATAATTTTATGTATTTGGTTATAGTTAGAATAATATTTTATATTGTTGAAAATGTAATACAGTAATTATATGATAAATGTAAGTAAATTTTACAAATCTTTAAATTATTTGTTACAAGGTCTTCTGGTGGAGGAACAAACAAAACCTGCTGGGATGAGAGCTTTTAGAGAATTCAGCATTGGGCTGAGGAGGGTCTCCAGTGCTCTTAAATCTAACTGGGTGCCTTCCATAGCTCTCAGCACAAATGAGCTCCTACTTTTACATGAGTTACATTCAGAGTGGAGGTGAACACATTCAGTCACTGTTCTGTGTGGCTCCTCCACCCAAAACTGCTTTAACTGCTTTGCCAGTTTGAGCTGCACTTCAGGTGCTCACCTTTCACTGTTGCCCATCACTGTCTCCCATTTTCAAGGACAAACTGAAATCAGTGGCAAGTTGTGTGTGCTGAAAGCTCTGGGATGTTTCTCTTTTCAAAACCAAACAAACAAACAAAAAAAAGAGATGACACTTGGCCAAAACCCCTTTTAATTAGAAACAACAGCTGCTTCTATGGTAGCAGAAGCTGATTTCTTTCCTTTCTCTCACACAATATGCTGTGGATAGTGAGTGCTCTAACCTTGTCTTCTCATACCTCCAAGACCTAGATTCGATTTTCTCAACTTTTGTGAAGTTGCAGGAAGACTCAAACAAGACACTGGATTCATCAGCAGAACATGTGTGGACATTTAAATGTGAGCAAATATTGTCAGACCTAAATTTGTGTTCCCCTTGATGAATGTCTTGACAAGTGATGTTAGCTCCAAATAAAGGGTAGCATAAAATTTCTCTGAATCAGCACATGATGCCAGTAATGCATTGAAGAGCTGGAGGATAGAGATACTCTTGTGAAAAGCCATTTTACCAGAAAAAATAAGTTTTCTAAAGAGGCAGAGAAGAAGAGAAGAACTGATTGTTGGTTTGAAACCAAAAAATAAGATTATTTAGACTATTTCCTCTTATTTTCTATGGGGTTTTTTTCTGTATTATTTTCTATTTCTTTATATGACATTCAGTTGTACTTGAGCATTTCATAAACTTTAGTACATTTAATTTTGCTACAGGGCTAAAAGATAGAAAAGTGCTGCTCTGCCCCATTTTGGAAGCCAAAAATCAAGGCTTTGCACCTGCTAGCTTGTAGTAGAAATCAATAGAAATTCTGACCTTGACTTCATACATCCTTGTCACTGCAGCTGCATCCCTCTCCTACAAAATGCCTGCATTTCCTGTAGGCAGTCTGTTGTCCTTTATAAATATTTTTAATTTCCTAAACCACATGCCCACCTTTGTTATCTCTCATAGCCACGAGCGTCAGTTCTCAATCTGCAGCATCTGCCCTCCAGTACCTGCCTGCTCACCTTCAGACAGACAGGACCTTTCTCTCTTTCTACTGTAGTGAAGCAGTTCAGGAAATTAAGCACAAATTATGTCAAGAAAAAAACAAAACCCTGCAGCAAAATTTCTGTTTATTTCTTTCATGAAAACTCATCCATTAAAATGTTCTCAATTAAAATTTCCAACATTATTGGAGCTCCCTGCGTTTCCATATTTAAAACGAAATGGAGAAGTGCCTGCTCGAGTGCCAGAGAAGCACTCAAGGGGTAGATGGCATTTTCTGGGTGTATTTTAGATATTATTCTCCCCCAGTGTGTTGGAGTTGCTGGTGCCTGTGATGGTGTTCACAGGGGTCTGAGGATGAGGGAAGAGACGAGGATCTGACTCCATGTTTCAGAAGGCTTGATTTATTATTTTATGATATATATTATATTAAAACTATACTAAAAGGATAGAAGAAAGGATTTCATCAGAAGGCTAGCTAAGAATAGAAAAAGAAAGAAAGAATAACAAAGGCTTGTGTCTTGGACAGAGAGTCTGAGCCAGCTGACTGTGATTGGCCAATTAGAAACAACTCTATGAGACCAATCACAGATGCACCTGTTGCATTCCACAGCAGCAGATAACCATTGTTTACATTTTGTTCTTGAGGCCTCTCAGCTTCTCAAGAGAAAAAATCTTAAGGAAAGGATTTTTTAGAAAATATCATAGCTAGAGGTGCCCTTTCTCTGTCTCTCTCTCCTCCAGCTACCAGGACCCCTCTCGCCCAGAAAGGAGCAGGCATCCCCACCGTCCCCACCACGAGGTTCCCGCTGTGGCCAAGGACAGCTGGAGCCAAAGGCTCGTGGTTTCCATCACCCCACGTGGATGGTCCCAGGCCCCAGGGCATGGCCAGACCCCCCCTGAGCCCTGGGGGGAGCCTGGCCCCACCGCCAGACCTGCAGCCCAGCCCCAGTGAGTATGGCCAGCAGCCCTGGAACTGCCCTGGGGCTTGGCAAAGTGTCTCTGAGTGGAGCTTGGAGAGCCCTTCAGGGACACCCACTCTGGGTTACCAGTGAGTTCATTACTTCATTGCAGAAATGCCAAAATCAGCTATAGGTTCCATCCTGTAATTTCTTGTCTTTAGGGGAAAAAACCTGGTCTTGCTTCCCACAAACACCTCTGCCACTTGGATCTTCCCCCACATTTAGCTCCAAATTTGGTGAGCAGACCTGTGAAAAAGCAATATAGAAATGCTTCTTTTGCCTTCTTGATGCCTTTTTGAAGCCCTGCCCTTCCCTAGTCCACAGGCTATTCAAGTTTTAGTCAAGTACGGATTTTTCTTTTTTATTTCATCCTGGCATTTTTGTATGTCACTGGCAGTACTGGGTGAGGGACTCTGGCTGCTGAGCTGTCTCATACCTAGAAATTCTTCTCAGTAGACAGATAAATAATGAATAAAAGGAAAGGTGTGTCTCTGTTCCCGCAGCTGACACGTCCATGCTTTGGATGCAGACAGTGTCTCCACAAGAAGCCAGCAAAGTGATGCAAACAGAGCCAGGTAAGACTGATCTGAAATAGCAGCAAAGTGTGTTTTCATAAACACTCTATTTATGAAATAGAAAGTAACATATAGAAATAGATGACTCATAATGTGTTTAAACATCACTGTCCACGGAAATGTTTACTAATGAACTGTGAGTTCAGGGTTGTATTTTTTATTCCTTTTTGCTGTTCCTTCAATCAACCTGCCTTTTTGTTTTAAGATGCCAAAGCAAGTTCTGTTCTTTTCCCTCCCCCAGATTTGCCCTCCACAGTACTGTCTCTGCCACCTTCCTACCGACCTGGTGTGACACTGAAACTGTACTCAGCTACCAGTGAGTAAATGCACCTCATGCACAGAAACAGTAGTGTGCTTGCAAGTCATGCAAATAGAAACATTCCCAGGCACAAAAAACATACATGCTTAATTAGCTTGTGATAGTTTATGTATGTAAACCACCCCAAATGCCCAAGGGACTGCTTCCCATTTACTTGTGAATTGTACACAGCTGCAAATTCAAGACATAGATTATATTGTGATGATAGAATAACATGGGTACTCTGTGGGGCAATTTTAGCACTGATTGGTTATCAGAGAATTCATTCTTATGTCATTCCAAAAGAAAATATCATGCTTTAAATCTCGTCATAAACAAAATTATGAAATCAGCTCATGCCACATGAAACCCCCAGAATTGTTCTGAATTTACAATACTGCAAACTCCTTCCTCAGCTAAAAAAGGATCATCATCAACTAGATTTTCATGAAAGCTCAATTCTCATCTGCTTCTGTTTCTGTGTGGTGACTGTCCAGGAGAAGCATGGATGCTGGGTAGTGCAAAGGTAACATATCAGCCTGGCCTCCAGGGGTCTTCAATATACTTTAGGCTTGGTGTTTTAGATAAAACCAGAAGTGTCTGAGGAACTAAAATGCTGGGCAAATCACTCGCATTTTCATGGTCATCTTTTTAGCTCTTATAATGCTATTTAATTCTGAAATCAGTTTTATTTTTTCTCTCATCTTACTTCTGTTTAAAGAGCTCCAAACACCAGAATCCTCCTCTGGTGTGCAGCACTAAAGACCCTGGAGAGCCTAGGATGCTTTGAAAAGGTGGGAAACATGGATTTCAGTGAGATGGGTGAATTGGAGTCGTCAAATGCCTCTGTGTGAGCAGCCATGGAGGCACAGGCTGCCTGCCTGATTCTAACAATCACACATTTGGGGAAATAAATCCAGCAGTGGGACCCTTAAGTAAGAAAGGGCATTCACATTGTTCTGAGGGATGACTCATGATTCCAATAATTAATTTCTTTAATCACAGAAGTGGGTGCCAACTAATAAATCATGTACATGTGCATTTTAGAGCGTGCAGGGAGGGATATTTTGAGTCTGAATCATTCACAGTAACCATAACATTGGTCTTCACTGGCAGCAAAATTTAATCTCAGTGTCACAGGGATGTGATATTGAATTAATAAAAGAGCTATCTGTTTATTGCAAAAGTTGGACACTTCACTGCTCCTGACAATAATGTGGCAATTTGAAACACACAGGAGGAAATCTCTGCACAGGAGCTGTGGTTCTTGCCTTTTCTGGTCTCTTGACTAATTCAATCTCTTAAGAAAGAGAAGTTTTAGAAAAGAAAGTTCTGAAATAAATTCCTACTTTTATTTATCTTTATGAACTTTTTTACTGAACACAAAAAAATACATTTCACAGTAGATAGTTATTACAGAAGAGGTATAAAGTTTTACTATGAATGGGTGAAAATTTAAATTTCAATGATATGATGTGAATATACTCTGCAATAAAAAAAATAAGTAGAAAATTAATTGAAAATTATTTCATCATTAAACAAATACAGTATTATGCAAATACAGTGTTAAAGTGATTGCCAAAAATGAAAACCAAATCAATTTCCTTAGCTTTCAGCATTTTTGTTTGACTTCTCTTTCCCACATAGATGACTTCAAATTGAAATTGCCTACATTCAATTTGCAGCTAGATAAAAGTGAATTTCTGGTGGCAAAACACATGGCTTGAGTGAAGCATTTAATGCCTGGTTAGCAGGATAGGAGGACCCACTTCTGCGGAGGCCGAAATTCGTAGGAGGGTGGCCTTCAGCAAGTTTTAATTATTCATCAACTTTTTTATTTCTCATCAATTTTAAGACAACTTTTCAGGGACAACTTATATTTAAACCTCATTGTCCCATGCTCTGATATTTGGTTTTAACATTAAGTGTGTTTACATAAGCAAGGAATCATTAATTTTTCATTCACTCCATGTAGGAGAATATCAAGGTGTGTCAAATGCTATTAAGGGGACAAAGCCTAATGACATTTAGTGAAATTGCTGAGGTGAAGAGAAATGCCCATGTCTGCTAATCTCACCTGGTATTTGTGCAGTGCCTTTGACACAGCTGGCTTTCAGAGCAGCCTGTGAGTTTGGAAGCTGCCAGGGTCTGTGCCCTGCTCCTCACATACTCCTGCTATCTTGGTCAAGCACTGCCAGCAGAGAAATAGTTTCATAGCAATGAAAATGGTTTCTCTTTCAGGTTGGTAGAGCCCTGATTTTCCTCCTGCCCAAGAATGCCATTCTATATTAAATTTCTTGTCAGCACTGGATGACTCAAGCTTATTTCAACAGAACTTCATTAGTCCAAATTTAACCTTCATAACCTGTGCTATCACATAACATAGCATTGCCCAGAGCTATAAAGTGTGTGAGACATGTGAACCTGGAAATGCAATTACACTGTCTAAGGGGATTATACTCAGCAGGTAAGGCTGGTTATCCACACATGGCCACAGCCTGCTGCTACTTACACAAAAATGGAAAAAAATAGTTGACAATCACACCAAGGCTGCCCTCGCTTTTCTTTCTTTTCCTTCCTCCCTTCCCTTCCCTTCCCTTCCCTTCCCTTCCCTTCCCTTCCCTTCCCTTCCCTTCCCTTCCCTTCCCTTCCCTTCCCTTCCCTCCCTCTCCTTCCTCTTCTTCCTCCCGCCCCAAAATGTCATTTTCAGGGACATCCCTTATTTGTTGGAGTAGGGAAGCCATTTCTTTGGAGGCCATATCCCAGACCAGGCAGAGCAGGAGATGTGGTGGCCCAAGCCTTTGTGCTAGCTCAGAGCTGTGCTTTGTCCCCAGGGTGCCCCCAGGCGATGCTCAGAGAGCCCCATGTCACCTCCCCTCCTGTCACCCTCCTAGTGCAGAAGATCAACCCCTGTGTGATGGAGCTCTGCAGGTTCTTTCAGCTGTGCCTCTGTGTTGGTCACAGAAGATATTCCAGAAAGGAAGCCATGAGGTAAAACCTGGCACTATTTTTTCTTTCTTGGTCTGCTTAAAATACTCCTTTGGGCTTTTTGTTCCCAAATGACAATTTTCAATCACCAATGATTATTATGGAGGGTCTGTGGCCACTGGCTGAGACCCAAATGTGTCCCAGGGCCCTGATCAGTACCTGATTTGGCTTCCGTATTCCAGCTAAGGGAAAAAAGCCCAGTTGCATCTTTCCAAACATCCAATGGCATCACTGAGGTTGGAATCTAGCTTTTTACTTCCATATTTAGTAGTAGCAGCATGATGTACTGTGCGTATCATGGAATCATAGATTGCTTTGAGTTGAAAGGGAACTAAAGACCATTTATTCCTACTCTGCTGCCATGGGCAGGAACTCTTTTCACTGGACCAAGCTGCTCCAACCCTAATCCAACCCGACCTTGAGCACTTCCAGGGATGGGGCATCCACAGCTTCTCTGGGCAACCTGTGCCACTGTCTCACCACCCTCTCAGTAAAGAATTTCTGCCTACTATTTAACCTGAACCTGCCCTCTTTCAGCCTGAAGCCATTCCTCCTTACCTTATCACTCCATGCCCTTGTCCAACGTCCCTCACCTTATGAAAGATAACAAGCCTCTTATCTTTAACTGCATCTCCTATCTGTAACTCCATCTTCAGATACTGTGTTGAATACTATTCCTGGTTTGTGAAAAATGCAAGTTATGTCTGCGAAAGAGTCAAAAGGGTTGCTTACTCCCACAGTAAGTACATTTTCACTTTATATCTCTATATCTCTACACACCTTGTTATGAAGATATAACAAAGATTTTTGCATATCCACAAAATATTTGCTGTCATCAGATAGCTATTTTATCTGATAATGATTTTTAAGGGATTAAAAAATTATTTTACCTTCATGCATGTTTTAACATTTTCTTGTAAAACCTCTTCTAACTAATATTTTCTTGTGTTCTTCCAGCATTAAAGCAAAAATGCCTTAAAAACATCTGTACATCAGTTTAGAGCACTGAGAAATTTTACTGCAAGTTGGAAGACTGGTGGCAGTTTTAGTTTTCTTTTTGATTTCTCAGAAAGCAACATGTTATTTGTAAATATTTGAAATCAGACAAGCTATTAACCAGATGTTAACCTAGAAATGTCTCCTCCACCAAGTCATTGTAAAAATAATGTCTAAAAAACAGAGATTTTTATACAAGTGATGTAACCGCAATAAAAACATTATAAGTCTTTTTAAAATCTTATTTTATAAAAGATATTTACATGGCTGACTAATGAATGCAAACAGTTTCTATTTATTTTATTGATATTTGAGACACAGTAATCAAAATTAACAAATGCAAAATAATTTAAAGGCAACCTGAAACATTGAAGACAAGCAGAACTCTCTGGTGTTAAACACATGCAGATTACCTTCTAAATCAAAAACTTCCATTACTTTAGCAATTCCTGTTGTGCCAACCCAGGAAGTGACAGAATCTTTTGTACTCGAGATGAATTTGTGTGAGCTCGCCAGGATTCACAGAAACATGGAATTATAGAATGGGTTGGGTTGGAAGGGACCTTAAAGATTTTCTACTTCCAGTCTCACCAGATCAGGTTGCTCAGGGCCCCTTCCAACCCAGCTTTCATTTCCTTCATATGCAAGTCTGGTGAACCAAAAAGCAGTTCTAGAAAAAAATGAAAGAATAACCAAATCAATTACATTATCCCATAGTTTTCTATGCTGCAGCAACATTATGCTATCAGAGTATGTCATCAAGCCATTAATACTGTTTTTAAATAAGAAGTTTATTTGCACTACAGCTGCTGCACATTGATGTTTCACTGAAGAGAGATGTTCAAAGGCAAAGCCAAGGAGGAAAATAACAATATGAGCAATGCTGACCCCCGGGAGAGGTGGGATGCAGTAGTTCTCTTCTAAAATACATTTTGCTGTTGTGCTTAATAGTTTAAGAGAAGAACTTCTGTCATGTCAAAGAGCAGGACAGATTGGAGTGGTACCAATTTCAGCAGATATTGAAAGTTAGGCCAATGGAATAAACAGGAATGTCAATACAGTGAGCATGTGCTGGGAATAAGACACGCTGCTATCCAGAAGGACCTCAACAGGCTGAAGAAATGAGCCAACAAGAACTTCACAAAGTTCAAGAAGTGCCATAACATGTCACTGCCATGCTGTGGGAGGTCTCACCTTGCTGCAGCAGCCTCAGCCTGTGCCCATTGTCTCTTGCTGTGTCACTGGGCACTGCTGGACAGAGACTGGCTCTGTCCCACTGCACCCTGCCCTCGGGCGTTTACTGGATTGATGAGATCCCCCCAAGGCTCCTCAAGGGAAGAGTCCCAGCTCTCTTGTCCCCTGAAATAGGAGCCTCCTCCAGCTACATCTCATGAGCTCTTGGAGGTCTATTTCACAGCTAAAATAGCTTAGCTACCTTAGAAGGCATAAAATCAGCAGGATGGCTTCTATTGCAGTGTTGGAAACAAAAAGGTTTTAATAAAAGACAAAATAACAAACTCTTTACAGAGAAAAACCAATTTAGGTGCAAGAGGCCCTCCTGCCCTTGGTGAAACACCTCACAAAAGCAACTAGTTTCTTTGTTCTCTTCTTTTTTTAGTAAATGGCCTAGGCAAGAATTTTTGGCTCCTGTCCAGTTAGCTATCCTTAAGATTGAGGTGAAGTCCCCTGGGTCCTATGAGATGCCTTTTTCTAATCAAAGAGAAAAACTTCTGGGCTTATTTCCTTTTTAAAGGGCAAAGGATAGTTTTGTCACTCCATCAAGATACACATTCCTACAGCCCCCTCCTCATGAGAGATGTTCTGGTCCCTTCATCATCTCTGTGCCCCTTCTCTGAACTGTCCCAAGTTTTTTCATGTCTGTCCTACACTGGGAAGCCCAGAATTGGACACAGCCCTGCAGATGTGACCTCACCAGTGCAGAGCAGAGGGGCAGGACCCCTCCTTCAGCCTTTAGGCAGCACTTTGCCCAATGCAGCACATGCTGAGCCCTCTCTGCTGCAGGGGCACACCTCCCACTCCTGTTCAACCCCTGTCCAGCAGAAGCCCAGGTCCTTTTCTAGCAAGCTGCTTCCCAGATAGGTGGCCACCAGCACATCTTGGTGTGTGAGGCTGCACCTCTCCAGATGCAGGACTTGGCACTTCTTGTTGAACTTCATGGAGTTCCTGCTGAGGTCCTGGATGGCAGCATGACCCTCTGAAATGCCAGTCACTCATCCCATTCAGTGTCACCTGCCAGCCCTCTGAGGGTCCATTCTGCCCCATCATCCAGGCCATTCACGGAGATGCTAGGCAGGGCTGGATCCAGCACTGGAATGCACCACCAGGCACTGGCTTCCCAACAGACTTTGTGCCACTGGCCACCACCCTTGTGGCCTCACCAGTCCATTTTCAACCACCTCCCCAGGCACATCCAGCTCAGACATCAACAGCTTCTCCATGAACATCTCACAGGTGACCGTGAAGGCCTTCCTGAAAACCTTGTAGGTCGCAGAGTCAAAGGGCCTTTTTCTCATGTAAGAATTTTTACAATTCCCAATTGTCAAACTTCTCACTTCTCCATGCTGCTGTTCAGTGGGCAGTTTGTCTCTGTTGATGGACTCTTTGAAGGGTAGCTGTGTCTGGGCCTGGCAGAAAGCACACCTTCCTGATGAAAGGCAGCCTGCCCTAAGCTCACTGAACCAACCTTCTCCTGCATTTCACTCAGCCTTGGATCAGAGCCACTGTGGATGGATTAAAGAAGACTTCCCAACCCTGAGGAATGCCAGTGTTTAAAGCTGTGCAAACTCTCACTCATCTTTCATCACCAAACACTACCTCTTGCTAAGCCATTAAAGCCACATTCACATGCCCAAGAGATTCTGGGAGTGATTAATAACAATGGGATGTCTGTTATTTAATTACAGCCAAGAGCATTAGGGAAAGTTATTATATGGTGAAAGCACCAGCAGAAGAGACTTCCCAGTATAGATCCTTTACATGGCTGGAGCCATATTACAGATACACTGGGCATAAAGACTCCAAGGAATCTCATGGCAGAATTAATTAATAAATGTTGAAGTGGGTTTGATAAAGGAAGGGATCACATGGGTGAGGTTTATATCCAAGTGGGTATAAATAAGTTAGTACTGGCTTTGCTGATATTCATTTGTCTTCCATCCAGCTGCTTTGGGATAACATCCCTCAAGGTAAGTTCTTCTGGATGTTCTCTATAATAAGGGAAGCAAGAAGAAAACAATGTAGAATAAGCTATTTGTAACTTTGCAGTAATAGACAAAAAATATAGGGAAGAGATTTGGGAAAATAGACTATAAATTTTTAGAGCTGTTAGATATATAATCTCACTTCCTGATAAAATATTACAAGATTTTCTGTTAGAAATTAATTCCATATTTGAGTTAAGAAAAGCAGATAATAATAAGCAGGTACATATATGTGTGTGTTCATTTTTTTGTTCATTTTAAAAAGTCCTATGCCTGACTTACTTGCTCTAAATTTAAAGTAATTTGTGATTGTAGTTAAAAACCAATCTGTCATCTTCCATTTAATGAATACTAGAGCAACACATTGACAAGAATTTCTTACACACATATCTTGAAGATCTCCAAATAACATCATATTTCTCATTAGGAAAAATTACGATATATTAGATGAGTCTCAACATAGATTAGAATAAATGTTTGACTACAATTTTTTGTGATATGAAGCAAATATAATGGATTGTGGATAAACTGAATTCCAATAGATATAATATCAGAATAACTTCATTTACACAGTGTTTCACAGTATCTTCATTTAAACATAAGAATTGTTTGCACATTGTATGAGATGAAGGAAGATGTGAAAACTGTTTGCAAAACAAAAGAAACTGCAAGTGCACCATTTTATTGCTACATGGCAACTTTATAGTCTCTTGACTCAAAGCAATACCAAAATTAATATTGTTAGTCATACTTTTAGACAACATTGGTAAAATAAGGATATATAAGGTTCATCTTTCCTGTAATATGTGCATTTATTATGATAAGGGTAAAAACTGAATTTTATCAAGCAGAAATATATCCAGGCTACAAAAGAATGATTTCCCAAGATGGTGTCTTCCTAATCCCAGACTGAAGTGATAACATTCTGTCTAATATTTTACTTGACTCACCAGGCACACGAGTCTGCTGTGTGACTTTTTTCTTGTCTTTGGATTAAACAAAAAATGATTGTAATTCTGCTGGTGTCTATGTCCATGGTGGTGTATAGTGGTAAGTGGCAATGTATTTTTATGATTACTTGACATTATGTCAAAATACTATTTTAAGTATGAGCATTTGGAAACAGTCCCTTAGAAACACACCTGCTCTCTCCACAAATGTTGGTGTTCAACACCTAAGTGCATTTGAAGACATTTCTTTATGAAGTGCTTATAAAATATTTTTCTCATGACTTGTAGTGAAGCAACAAAATAAGTAGTGGGGTTAAAAATACAACCAAAAATTTGCAATTTCTTTTTGCTAGCACTTTGTCATTATTTAAGCCATTAAGACTCCAAATTTATAAGTTCCATATAAAGAGATTCTACTCATTAAATACATTTGAATTATCTTAATTCTCCAAACTGTTCAGTACATCCTGAAATAGAATCCATGTCCACCTAAAGCTCCTCTTTTGAATTTTATTATGAATAGCTTTTTCTTCATATAACTCTTTGGATTTTATTGTCATGAGTGAATGAACTTCCCTGAGTCAGGGATGGACAAACACCTCAAATTTCTGCAGTCTCTGCACTGTGTAGGAATGTCAGAGAGAGTTACGATGTGCAAGTGAAGAAAAGGACTCTTAGAAGGTCTGTCACCATTTCTGGCCAATCCATGGGGACATTTCTAAAGGGAATAGAAAACTCAGGACCCCAGCACAGAAAATTCTGCACCGGCCTTCATCAGCTTCACCAGCAGCTTCTCCTCTGAGGGGCTGCTTGCATTGCAGTTCAGAAATTAAATGGGTCTAACACAAAACATACAGGCTAAAATTATGAAGCTGAACCTTAACACTCCTACTATATAGAGTGAAACCAGAGAGAATATTCACATTTCCCACTGCAGTGATAGCAAATGCCCAAATATCTGCACTATTTATTTATTTTAAAAATATATATTTTTATGTTGATACTGCACTCAAAAATATCTGGACAGTC